CCTATGAGATTAATTAATATAATACCAGTTTGCTGAAAGTATTTTACAACTAAATAAGGTATTTGTTAATTACTCACTATAAAAATATTATATTCTTCAACTTTTAAAGTTCTCACCATTTCTGAATCTGCACATATTATTTGACTAGCGATTGAAATATTCCATAATAATTTAGAAGTACCTTTCTTCTTTAAATATTTTTGAAAATGGAAAGCATATAAAGCATTGCTTTTTCTAAGATTAGTTTTCAATATGCACAAGTTTGTCTCTATTTCATTTCTAGAAAGTGATTCTTATTTTGATTCTTGAATACTTTGAAGACTGCTTACACCTTCATATGCATCATCAAACTAGCGCAGAAACCTTTTATTAGTATTTATATTAAAAATTTAGATAATAGAAATATACACGCGCTCCCATCTGAATATTTTGTATAAATTATTAATCATATGTGGCCTGCATATAACTGATAATGCACATAAATAGTATATTTTCTTCATAAATCAGAACCAAGTTCTACCCCTGTATGTCTAAAGAATTAATGCAATTGATTTAAACCAGTGCCACATGGCTATAGGTACTATCTTAGTTTGACTATAAGATATCTTTCTGAGTAATCATCATTTAGAAATATAAATCTGATAAAATAATAATCACAGAATCATATTCTACCTATGTATCTAAAAAATTAATGCAATTGATTTAAACCTGTGCCCATATGGCTATAGATACTCATTTAATTTGACTATAGGATATCTTACTATGCAATCATCATTTGGAAATATAAATCTGATAAAATAATAATAATCACTAACCTTCAAAGGAATATCAATAATTTTCAAATACTTTTCAGAATTTTGTTGGTCAAGGTTTTTCACCTTGTTAATCACATTATGAATTATTTCTCTCAGTTCTTCTTTTAGATACCATGTATCATATTCTATTAGTTGAAAAATAACAGAAAATGCAGTAATATGATCTGAAGGTGAATTATGTAAAAAATTAAAAATTTTGTTAAATATTTCAGAAGAAGACATAATGAAATGTTAATAGTATATCACGTAAATAAAATAAATGATTATAAAGTGATAAATATACTAATTTTCGTTATACTGCCCTTTTATATGCCTTATAATTACATTTCTCAAGATATTGGCTAAGCAGAAGAATATGTAATTTATGTTAACGCCAAAAGTTTCTATTTGAGAATAAGGGCATGATTTACAAAGACATTGGGAATTATGCAGATTTTGAATTATACAGATTTGGATTATGCAAATTTGGATTTTATTTCACTCTCACTTTATTACTCAAAATTTTTTATTAACTACAGAAACATATTAATAAACTTTATTCTGCTCAAAAATTCGTGACTTTTATGAGAGAAATTATTTTATCACACAAGTAGGTATATGTTTATTTATGTTGTATGTTATGTTAGTCAAATGACTTCTTAATTTTTTTAAGATATTTCTACAAGATAGGTGTTTGATACTATTATTATAAATAGTACTTTAGCAAGCACAACGAGAAAAATTTGTCTTTTGCTAATATTTGATATAAACTGGGTTTGTTACTCAAGATAAAATGTAAAATAATAAAAAAACAAAAGAATTAATAGATTTGTTATAATTTATAAAATTGGTACTTGTTTGCTACTATTATTATAAATAGTACTTAGGCTGTATGACGAGGACGTTAGTACCTTAACAGCCCAAAAAAAAATTTGTTTCCAACTGATATTTGGTACGAACTGGATCTCGTTACTCAAAATAAATATATGGACTTAAAGTGTTTAGAGTCCCGTTCCTCAAGACAAAAAGAAAAATAATTTAAAAAAAAATGTATATTGAGAATAAAAAAAATTGAGAATAAAAAAAAAATAAAAAAAAAATCATTTAAAAAATAGCAAAAAAAAAAAGAAAAAAAAAAAGCAAAAAAAGCAAAAAAAATTGTATATATTATAAATTTTATTAATAACATTTTAATAATTTGGAATATTGATAAAATCAGATATAAATCATCATTGACGAATTATAGGTGATTTTAAATTTGATAAAATCGGATATAAATCGTGTTAGCAGAATTGTAGAAGATTTTAAGTGAAAATCAAAATTAAGCCAAAATTAATCTGAATTTTGTCCAATTGATCACGTGTCTGATTTATTTTATTTTGACTAGTGAAAGAAGTTTTTGTTTTTTGTTTTTTTTTTTTTTAACAAAACTTATTTTCATTTTAAAATATGTCTTCATCAACTTTTGCTTCAACTTCTGCTCCTTCTTCAACTTCTGCTCCTGCTCCTGCTCGATCACCAAGAGTTAAGTGGTCAAAAGAGGCTACTGACGCTCTAATACAAAAGCGACGAGAACGAAATGCTGTAAATATTTTAATATAAATTATTTTAATATATTATATCAATTATTTTTAATTTGTAAAATTATTTTAGGATTACCATAATTCTTGGGGAAATTCCAAGAAACAATTTTGGGCAGATTTAGCCCAAAGAGTAAATGAAATTGCTAATT